ACTGCTGTGTCTGCAACACCCCTTGAAGTTCAACAAACTAGTAATCATTACAATCAAAATGTTTCCTAAGGCCATGCTCACCTTTGGTTACCAAAAACACTTTTATAGAAATGGAGAAATGTCTCCTCTTCTTTAAGACACAGTGCTCACCAACTCATACACCTGATGAAATTAATACAGTATACATCAAATAACATATTTATTTACAGATTTAATAGCATTGCACAGAGGAAAGTCATATTTGTCATAAAGAATTTAATTCTAGAAAACGTGAGTGTGGGTGGCATAGTGTGACAATGGTTAGCATTGCTTCCTCACTGTGCTGAGGCCATGGGTTAAATTCCTGGGGCCTGGAGTTTGAATGTTCTACCCATGTTTGCATGGTTTTCATCTGGGTGCTTATGTTTCCTACCACAGTGTAAGCGTAGTTTAGGACCCTATGCAGACGGGTATAATCCGGAAGTAAGTGGAGAAGGACAACAGCGCAAACACGATGAGGAATCAGGATGGGATGACAGACGGGGGGCGTGACGACGGTGATCTGATGCTCTGGGGGCATGGTGCAGGGAAACAAGTCCAAACAGTCCAAGGGGGCAGTCCAGGTCACAGTCCGGGGTCCAGAAACCGGTAGAACCATCAGAGTCAGACTAAGTTAAAATCCGTAATGGGATCTGGAACAGGAACAGGGACGATCAAGGCGCCGTGATGAAGCCTATGCCGTCAGGTCTCTCCTGGACCTGCTGGTAGGCAGGCTTCTGAGAATCCATCTTCCAATGCTGAGCCAGGAATAGCAGGAGCACCATGCCTAAATAATAATAGACAAAACAGGGGGCAGGTACAAGTAATCAAATAAAATATGAAAGGGTCGGAGCACCCTTAAGAGCAGGGATGATGACTGTGACACACGGTTCAAAGACATACAGTACTGATAGAATAACTGGCTTCTGGGAAAACTGGCCCTCATGTGAGTGTGTGTGATGGACTGGCATCCCTTCCAGGGTTTGTACTGCTTGTATCCATTGCTTGTTGGGACAGGCTCTGGCTCATTCACAGCCCTGTATTGGATAAAACAGTTAGATGGAAGAAACATTAGGTACACATTTATTCACACTCCAGTTTGTTATTCTGTAAATCTTCTTGTGATAGAAATTATTCTGACCAGATTCCTCCTTTAGTGAGCTACAGTATTTGGCACAGTTTGTGAACATTTCCTCCATGTAGAATTACTCTTCAGACCCTTTGGTTCATGTTAGTGAACAGCTATTTTGAGTTAGAATAATATCAATTGGATTTTGGTTTGGAGATTGAAACATTTTTTATGCAGTTAACCATTCATTTATTACAGTAATTTGGATATACACTTTGCATCATTGTCGTGGTGGAATGTCCATTTTTGTCCAGGCCTGAGCTTCTTGGCAGAACAACCATGAATCAAACCAGGGATCTATCCAAAATGTCCTGGTACATGGTGGAATTCGTAGTTTCTCCCACTAAAGAAGGGCTCCAGGATTCCTAAATGCAAACAATCTTAAAACATAACAGACTCCCCAAAGACACTGTTTAGGTTGTTTGGCAAGTCTTTTTGTGGTTCGACCTCAGAAAAGGTTTCTTCCTTGCTGCCTACAATATCTACAGTATGAATGCCACATTCATGCAGAAACCTTAGAATGGTAGTTTCTGAATTTTTTTATCCTGAAGATGTCAGTGCATCTTGGAGATCTGTACCATCTTTACCTGTACCTGTAGAATTTAAGATTGTCTCCCAAACTTCTTGTCTCACAGCATATGGTTGTAAACTTGAATTCTATTCCTAGCAAAGTTATACCAGTAGTAGATTCCTTGATAGCAATATCCCAACTTGCGAAGATCAAATGACCACTTTCCTTCAGACTTCAAAGAACTTGACTTTAACCATGATGAGCATGTTACAATTAATTTTTTTTCTTGTACGGGTATTATCTCTTTCCATTACCCAAAGAAACTGAAAACCTTCAGAGGGCTCTATATAGTTCAGCAGGCTTCCATTTCTCTCCCAAAGTAACACTTAGGGGTATGAATAAATGTAACTTTATTGTTTTCTAGACAAATTAATAATTTCTGACAAATGTCACTTTATGTGTAGTGCCACTATGATTACAGTACAACATTAATATAATTTTTTTAAGTGAGGCACGTTATCTAATTCGTAATGCATTGTTCTACAGTATATGATATTTTGAATTCCAATTTCATACTGGCATTAATAAACCTAGATGGCGCTGTTTCTGCTCTTCTTGATATCCTCTTCCTCAACAGCGAAATCAAATTCCACTGTTGAGAAACAGGAACCATAAAATATCTAAATTTTTTGACAATGTTTTGTAACTGAAGACTTTCTGCAAATAACACTAAACCAAATATATATATACAATAGTTGAATTATGTTCACAGTGGTTCCCAAACCAGGTCCTGGAAGAATGCTGAGTCCTCTTTTTTTTGTTACAGCCAAACTCTTTTTCATAGCCTATTTGTCGATTTGGGGAATAAATTAAATACATTTGATTTCAGCAGGATTTATAATTGGTATCAACCCTGTACCAATATTTGAAACAAGTTAAATAGAAATTAAAGCAATCAAGCAGAACAATTGAGCCATCAATTACCATCTGCAATTTAGATTTCAGCTAGAATGAAAACCAGCTGATACAGTGAACACTGATCAAGCGGTTTTTAATGTAGGAGATCAATTGTGTCTCATTTGAAATTACTTCTTGATAACAGAACACAAAGGACAGTCAGGTGGCATTTTGCACCGAAACCATATTTCAACAATCTCTAATTGTACTGCCAACAGAATACCTAACAAGCAGCCATTGTAGATTATGCAGGACCTTCATTTTGTCACATGTCAAGTTATCTTGCCAAACAGTTGGACAGAAGAAGCTTGTGTAAGAGACCTATAGAAAGTACAAACATAGTACCATCCTAGTGATAATGCAATCATGACACAGTAAATAGGGTTTCTGTGTAAGCCAGGATGCCTGGCAGATAGCCATTTTGTTCCCTTCTTCATAAATATTGCAAAAACGATTGGTCAGTTTGTTCCAAATTTGGTAGGCATCGTACTAGCGACAATGCAATTTACACACGTCAAATTGAGGCTTCTGCTTAAATTCCGTCTGCTGCCTAACCACCATTTTTCTGAGAATTCATACTGCCTCTGTTTTGTAGGCAGCCATAATAGTTGAATGGTTGAATAGAATTTGGCAGGATTTATCAGCACTCAAACCTGGTTTAAACTTGCACTTCACAGATTGCAGAAATACTGTACGTTTTCTTCTCACATTGGGTCCTTTCTTTGTTGTCAAATTTCTAGTCAATAGATGGCTTGTAGTCATAGATGGCAAAGTCATATTGTTCAAATCTCATTACTGTCACATTGCTTTATATAAGTATAATATAACAGGGACTTCCTTCAAACTGTTTGGCATTTTCTATTTCCTATTCAAGAATCATTCAACTTTGAGCAGAGGACAGTTCTTTATTACTAGAGGCTTGAAACTGTCTGCAGTTTGTGCTCCAAGACATCATAGAAGCTTACAAACATTAAATATTGAAAAATATCTTCTAAAATAGTAATTTTGTCACAGACTAGGACACTGTCAACATCAGTCTGGAAAAAGAAAACAAAAAACAAAACTATGCTGATCTGGATAAAATGAAGTACTGGCATTGTATCCAAATACTTCTATCTAAAATATAGAGCTTTGCAAATAACAGCACAATTAAACATTCAGAAAATTAACAGCCAGGAAGGGGCATGATGGGAACATAAATTAGCTCATATGAGTACGAAATCCATCAGCTTAATATCTTAAACATGGTATGCAGCTGTTGGTAAATTTAGTACAGCTGTTATATGATGCAACAGATCTGTTACCATTAGCACTCTTTAATGATAAGAGAGTGCATAAAGAAAACAGAAGTATAATTAATTATGTTATGTCCTTTAAAAGAATGTGAATATGTTGGCAGGTACTTTCGTCTTTCGTACTTTTGTCTTGCCTTAACACATAAGAAGCATGACTTTTATCCAGATGTTTTGGAATAGTTCAGGTATTTTATCACCCAAGGCTTTCAACAAGTCTTTGACACAGCTAGTTGTTTAATTATACACTTGAATTAACTATTGTATTAATCAAAAATTAATCCTGTCATGGAATGAATTGGATGGTCTGGTATTTGAATACCCTTTCGTCAAACGGTTACTGTCCTGTGCCTCGTCAATAGATCATTCTTATCGTATTATTTATTATCATATTATCATATAACCAATGATCTTCAGTTCACTCAGTTGCACAGAGGAGTTGCATGTTCACTCTAAACTTTCATTCTCAAGAAGAAATGTGTGAAATACAGTAGTTTCCATATTGAGGAAACTGGGATTTTAACAGTAATCTAAACCTTTGCTAATTCTGCTGAGTATGCACCTCAGAACTCTAAATATACATCTTAGATGATTGATCAATGTGTTATGAATTAATATTGATGTTCTATGAAAGTTTTAAGAAAGTAGTCTTCTACCAGTATTTGAAACATTGTTCTCAGAAATGATCAGTTTTAACCCCTCAACATATTTTGTTGCTGCTCTATGTACAGTACTTGGATTTTGAAAGACACACAAAACACAGACTGAGAAATAATAATGCTGGTTAATGCATGGTAGAATGAGAGAAATGATCACTACATAAATAGAATTGCAGAAAGCAGAGTCGTTCATACAGTATATAAAATCTTCACCTTATTTCTGGAAAATAAGTACTGGTTATCCTTCAAGAATATAATTTTTATTTCCTTTGGTTCAGTAAAGTAGGGTTTTCCTGCCCCTGGTATTTTCCTTTGATAAGTTCAATTGGGTATATTTTCTTGAAACGCCAGTGGGTGTACGTTTTTGGAAAGATGTGTCATTGGGAGGGGGCTGGTATAAAAAGGAGGGCTACAGACGGTGGAAGGGAGGAGGGTGGAAAATTGAGAGGGAGTGTGGGGTTTTGTGTGCGCTGTTGTGCAGGGAATACCATCATCTCGGTAGAAGAACGTGCACATCTTTGGTTAAAGAAAACCTTTGAAATTTTTGTTACGCAAAGGTGAAGACTGATTTTTGGTGAGCCACGAAGAGCTGATTTAGCGGTTAAATCAGATTTTGTTTCTTCATGCTGCAAATAAGAGGACAAAATGTTCGTCGTCTAGTTTCAAGCTTAACGGATGTGAAGAGACAGAGGATGTCAGAGAAGTCCAAATAGATGTCTAGTTTGATTTTTATATCACTTTTGCGACTGTTACTTCATTATGACTTTGAATAGATAGCTTTTTTAAACTTTCCGTCTTAAAGGAGAAGCTGCGTCACGCTAATCACTCACTTTCTATTTTTTGAAATATTGAAGTAATTAACTGGTGACACGCTTTCCTTATTTATTGGATCGTGCATTGCTATTTGCATTGTTTTACGGTGTGTATTTAGGAATGGCAGGATCTGTTCCTTGTCTATTACTGTCGTTTTTTACCCTTTTTGGAGGGGCTTGGAGTGTATCTTACCCTCAGCGATACAATCTCTACACTGGGCAGAATCAATTTCAGTCTACCCAGTCACAGTCACAGAATGGGCCAAGAGCAGCTAGCAGACACAGGTAAGTTTTTTTTTTCTAGTTTATTGAACATGCAAATTTCTCTGGGCTCAACATATAGTGTATTGAAACTCCGTCTTGCGACAAATGCAGAACAACCTAGTAATAGACAAACAGAATGAGAAACTTTTAGGAAAGACACTTAAGAGACGTGACGAATAACATTCGTAATTTATTAAATATTTTATCCATGAGAACTGTGAATACGGGACCTAAAAACCAATCTTGCACAAAACATTATTACTTTTAAAAACGTGTGGACGGCGATCAACCGTTTTCAGTGGTAATGTGGACTGTAAATGAAGATTAACATTTTCAGATTAAGTAAAAAATATGTGTTTAAGGGAAAAAAATGGAAACAGAATGACCTCTTGGCTGTCCGCAACAGATGAATACTTACCAAGAACAACTTTTGTGTGTCTACCTACGCGTGTATCCTTGAAGTCGAACTTTACTGTAGGTATCTATTTTAAAGCCGTCTCTGCATGCCTCTGCATTAGCTGTGGGTTGTATAGTGGTTAAAGTGTGAACTACTATGAAAATTCAAGAAACTGTACTGTGTTAAACCAGAAAAGACGTTGCGGTATGCATGTCGGTGAAGGAACTAGACGGAGCAAACCTAATACCAGATGGTGGCAGCAATTCACGGATGAGCTTTGGGTATCCAGCATGTTAGTTTACAGTATATAACAACAAAAGGTGCACAAAACTGCACATCTATCCATCCATATCCTTCTTCCAATTAAGGGTCGTGTGGGAGCCAGAGACTCTCCTGACAAGCCTTTAATATACCTAATACCTAATGTATACTTAACAATATTTCAAGATTAAAAGAATATACAATATTATTTATGAGCATATTATTTAAAATACTCCACACATATTATACATAAGAAAATCACGACGAATTGACCCAGTATACCGAAGAGTGAAAATAAAGTTATATTGAAATTATAGGTCATCAAATGAGTTGAAAAAATGTCAGTAGTACAGTATGTGACTAATGGTTTATGGGCAGTGAGTTTTACAGACGCAATGCTGCACGCAAAAAGTCTCTATCACCCATTGTGAGTGTGGAATTCTGTGGAGTAAGTGGGCTTGAATCAGCAGATAATGAATTGGACTATACTCATGCAACAAATCCGATCTAAATCCGAAGAATCTGAAGCCACAGTAGACCATTCGGTGTCTTAGACGTGAACACTAAATTTCACAGGGAACAAGTACTATTTACTGGGGATGAGCATCAGATAAAAAGAGATAGGTCCTTAACCAAAGTTATGCAAGTTGAAGAAAAATATCCCGTGATAATAATAATAAACTTTATTTTATATAGCGCCTTTAAAGGTGGCTTCTCAAAGTGCTTTACAGAATGACAACAACATTAAATAAAAAGAATACACAAGATAAAACACAATTACAATATACAGAGTAGACAGTAGATGGTGGTGCTAAATATAGTAGGAGCAGAGGGGTAAAGAATAGAACCAGATAAGTAAAGTGATGGCCCTAACAAGCAGTTCAAATGTCAACACAGTTTCAAAACTAGCACCTGCCGTAGGTTTCTAATTTCCGTTGAGTCTTGGGTTTCAACACCATTAACAAAAACATGGAAGTTACCAACTTTCTGACACTGATGTTGCGGGCCTATGAGTTAATCACTCTTGTCACAGTTTAAAACAGCTACAGTTAGGTCTGTTACATCCATGTCTTAATATGAGACCTCTAAAGGTTAGAATCTACAATAATAATAAAAATTATTATTATTCTTTGCATTTGTATTGCAACTTTCATCCTGAAGGATCCCAAGTCACTCTACATATGGGAAATTATCCACTTAATCCACTACTGAATTGCAGCACCCACCTTTGAGACACAGAGAAGCAAATATGTCAGCAATTCCATTAAAAAGCAGATCAGGTGGAAAAGTAAGAACATACAGTACTTCACCGATTAAATGATTCGGGGAATGTGAGGTAAGGCAGATTTAGTTAGGACATTGAGGTTAACACCTCACCTTTTTATGAACAGTGAGACCTTAAATGACCAAATAGTCAGGTCACCTAAAAATAGTTCTTCTTACAGCATGGCATCACCCATTCCTTAGTGCTATGTGCTTTGGCCATTAGTGTCATCTTCATATCAGTGAAGCTAATTTAAATAGTAAAGATTCCAGCACAAAAATCAGTTAAGCATCCTGTTTAATTGATTGCAGATTTAAAACCACCACGATTTCTGCATTGGCTCCTGGTAGCCTAATAGGGAGTCAAACTAATGAAGTACCAGTGATTCTTAGATATTTTTCCATGACATTTAAATCCCAAATGAGAAAATTAAGTGACACAGAGCCAAAAGTCATCAGTAAAGCATTAAGTGCCTTAAAAACAACTGTCAGTAGTCTCTCTGTCCTTACCTCAATGTAAAAGATTTAGAAAGTTTATTAGATGTACAGTAACATGAAAGCTGCTACTGTCTGTTCCAGAACTACCATGAGATAAGGTAAATTAGAAATAGGGCAATAGTTGTGAATATTTAGGATTCCCGGTCACAGTTTGTGTGAATAAGTGTGATTGCAGCAAACTATAAGGACTTCATCCTATAGTAACAAAAGCGGAAATTGAGGACATATTGATAGATTAGTAACAAATGGACAAAGAGCACAGAAGCCAGATTTGAGTAAGAGTAAAGCAATAATCTCTAAGATGCAGGTAGAAGGTTTTAATATATATGTTAATATAAACTCAGTCTTATAAATGGTACCGCCGGCAATACAATTAGAGAAAATAAACTTAGTCAGCAACTGGTAATAAGTGTTCTGTATTTTGCTGTGAAAGACTTGCAGCATACATTAACTGGTTTAAGAATCTTATCAATGATCTGTAAAATTAGCAAACATTAAGAACTGAAACACTTCAGACTAGGCATTTTACCAAAAGTGGATATTTTGTTTATATTTATTTGTTTATGTTGTTAAACATGAAAAGAAATAGTTGTGTTTGGGGAGACTTGCCAAAATGTAGCAGGAGGCTTTAGCACTTTAGGATGCTTTTTTCTTTGGAAAATCATTAGGAACTTTGAATTGTACTCCAGCTGCTTTGCATTGTTGGAGGAACAAGGGCTAAGTGGTAATCCTTGGATCTCATCCTTCTTTTTAAGGGAATGTGGTGTGCAATGAGTGTGCCAAGACTTTGGAGATGTGATGTTTAAAAGATGAGTACAAATGTGGTCAATATTTTGAGAGTACACAAAGATAATGACTCTCAAATTTACTGCCAAATTAGTCACAGCTGAGGAATAACTAGACATATGGTGCAGTATACAGTAGACACCTCTTGCCATTTTGGTCTCCAGGGTGGGATTCAGTTTAACAATACACATTCCCTTTAATTATGGACTCAGGAATAGATGATGTAATCAAAACTAAAGCAAATCAACTGAAAACCTGGCAATTGTTTTTTCATAAAGTTCCCTATGGACATTATCTCAGGTAATCTGTGTAGCCTTAATATTGTTTTGCTGGCAAATATCTTCAGACTGGAGAGAATGGAAGGGATCACACCAAAGTGATTTGTAATACATTTTTAATACACTAAGATGTTTTGGATTCCAGAAAGATCTTGGAACTGTTATGTGGCTGACAAAACTAGTTTCATCTTAAAAATGTACTCAAACCAAGAGGCGCGTGCCTGAAGATAAATCATAGTCAGCTCTGTTTTGTGAATTTTAGTTTGTGTTGTATTTTTTAGGTTCTTTTCCTGCTTATATCTTTACTACCTTGTAATGGACTAACAGTCTAGAGACATTATCACTCAACATTAACATATAAAAACTGTGGACTACTCTTTTCATATTTACTTTACAGACGGTTACAGTATGCTGACATGCACTATTAAAATATTTAGAACAACAGTTCCAAACACTGTTGACTAGATGATCACCTGTTTAAACCTTCTTAACCTAAAGTAAGACCTGGAGATTATTTATATAAACAGTTACAGACTACATACAGTATCAGACAACACCGAAAGTTTGAGTTTTCAGAAACCATTGATAGTACCAGTTACAGTAACTAATAGAAAAAATACTATAGAAACTTTAGTAAGCTTACCCCTTTAAAGACATTCCCTTTTGGGCATATTGTCTTTGTGATTTTGTGGTGGTTTCATTTGATGAAATTAAATGTACTTGTTTTTGGTGAGCATTACTGTTGAAGTTTCACACAGGGAGTGCAGAACAGAAGCAAAAGTATTACCGAAGAAGTCTCCACAGCTGAAATATTGTGTTTCTTCTCTTTCCAGCATGGAATAAACTTTTACTTGTTCCTTTTCAGAAATATCAATGGCCTGTCCAGAATCTAGGAATAGATCCCTTCTTCTAAAAACACTGAAAAAAAACACTGCATCACCACATTCTCCTGAGCTCCAGCTGAAACTAACCATTGCATGAAATCTGGAACAACAGATTCTTTTCCTAAGTTGATAAAGTCTTATATTTCTTTATCTTGTGCTAAATCTTTGCTACATGTCAGCCAAGTACTATAGGTGAACCTCAACAACCACAGGTAATCCATGAAGCAATCAGAAAAATGGAAAATTAAGAACTGAGAAAAACTAAACTTAGAATGGGGTCCAAAGAGATGGGTCAACATCTTTCCATAAGAATTCCATTTCACGTCTGTAACAGACAAAATGTCTGTAAATTAAGTGAGTCTGCATTGAAGAAACTGATCTTCAAGACCAAAAGTCATTAGTTTTAGGACAGCCCTAGTGTTGATACAGATGCAGCCATTCAAAACAAGCGGGCGATACCGCATTATTTTGCGGTGCGCTTTACGCAGTCTACCGCGAGTTACCGTAAATTCTCTAATAGTACTGTACCTCAAGTAAAATAATAGTATCTGGAATTTCCACAAGGTGGAGCTAATAAAGCTCAACCTCTCATGTTTGAGCTGTTGCCATCAAAGTCTTTAACGAGGATATTACTAATAGTATTAATAATGAATG